AATCTTGTTTTATTATTTTATTTCAATAAAAGTAATGCCAGTAACAAAAAGTAAGAAATGTGTATGAGTATGATGTTTTTCTCCATAAAAATGTTTATACACAAATGTTGACAAGCATTTGTAAAATGTAAAACTTTAATACTCTCCAACAAACACACATATTCCCTACAAGCAAGAAGATACGAAAACGATACGAATTCGTATTGCTTAGAAGAAAAAAATTATTGCGGCAACAATCATATTCGTATTGCGGAAGATACCTCCTTCGGGAGAGATTGTGCGGCCAGGGGGATACTTCTAAGCAATACGAAAGCAATACTCCTAGAAGACAAAAAAGAGACATTGCTAGATAATCAGCATGGTGAAATTAAGAAGATATCTTCAGATAATCGTCTGGAAGATATATTGGAGATATTCTCCTATTATCTTTAGGAAGAAAAGTATAAGAAATTAAAAAATTGGCAATTTGAAGACACATTTATTAGTGTTAGCAATAAAATATTACAATATGGAAAATATATTAACATAAATATGCCAAATTAACGTTTCCCCAGCACAATTTTGTTTTACCCACAGGAAGATTCTTTTAATATTGATTTCTTTTAAGTACTCTGAAAACCAAAAACATCATGACTATCCATTTTTTTATGTGAAAATATAGATAAACTTACATTTTTTCAAGCATAAATTACCATTGTAATGATGTCGTCTTGATTTATCGCGTATTAACTTATTGTAGTAAGATTTATGTAAAAAAATTAGTTTTTTTCTTATTTTGAAAATATTTTGAAGTTTAAAAAAAATATTTTTATTGCTATAATATCATCTATGCGATAATATAACGATATCCTAAACGTATTGCGTAGGATGAAAATCCTCTTGCAGAAATAAATACAACAATTTGGCAACAAAAAATACTTTACAAAATCAAAAAAATATTAATTTAAATATTTTTATTGTTTATTGCCGATTTTACTTTTAAATATTAACATTGCGATATCAAAAAATATTGCTTGGATGATTTTCTTCCAAATTATAAAAATTTAATATATCTTTGATATCTTCTATGGACGATATCTTCCAAATGTTTGTAGGGTTGTCGTTGCTCCCAAACTCCTATATGCAGAAAAAATGTTTCTATAATAAAAAATAAATATAAGAAATAAATAGCAACGAAAAAATGCTGTTGGTTTTGTTAAGGATTACGGAGTGCATTAAAGAGATCATGTTTCAGGAGAATAAAAGAAAAACCAACAACAACAGCCAACAGAGACGTAAATGAAGAAGAGTATGAAAAATGTAAAATTTATGTAAATTACATGGAATAACACACTCTACACACATGCAGACACATTTTTTTGCTTGTTTGCTAAATGACATTTAATGCTCAGAGACATACACTCAACTGTAGACAATAAAACATACATATAAGGAGTAAATGCGACAGAGTATAAAAATGTTCTTAAAAGTTTATGAACGTTGAAAACATCTTTATTTGTATCCGTTTTCAAACACTTTTTCTTTCGTAAAAACTTTTTCGCCTGCCTTCGTAAATCATTAAATTGCCTGTCTTCAACATGTTTCTCTTTTCAGACTGTTGATGTATGACAATTTTTTTATGGTTATATTTTTTCTGCTTTTTTTTATTTAATAATTAATTTTTATAGGATTTTATTTTTGTTGTTTTGTTACAACAAATATTTAAATGACAATGGCTGTCAGCTTAAATATTAAAGTGGATTAAAGAGCATTTTTTTGAAATAAAGAAAAATATTTGTTTATACAAGATAACAAATATTACTGTTTTATTAAATTGCTATAAAAAATTGATAAAAAATAACCATATAATTTAGAAAAAGTTCAATAACAATTTAACTGAATGAAACGGAATTAAAAGTGATTAAGAACCGAACTAGAAACTTGAACTTGAACTAGAACTGAACTAGAACTGAACTAGAACTGAACTAGAACTGAACTAGAACTGAACTAGAACTGAACTAGAAACTGAACTAGAACTGAACTAGAACTGAACTAGAACTGAACTGAATGAACTAGAACTGAACTAGAACTGAACTAGAACTGAACTAGAACTGAACTAGAACTGAACTAGAACTGAACTAGAACTGAACTAGAACTGAACTAGAACTGAACTAGAACTGAACTAGAACTGAACTAGAACTGAACTAGAACTGAACTAGAACTGAACTAGAACTGAACTAGAACTGAACTAGAACTGAACTAGAACTGAACTAGAACTGAACTAGAACTGAACTAGAACTGAACTAGAACTGAACTAGAACTGAACTAGAACTGAACTAGAACTGAACTAGAACTGAACTAGAACTGAACTAGAACTGAACTAGAACTGAACTAGAACTGAACTAGAACTGAACTAGAACTGAACTAGAACTGAACTAGAACTGAACTAGAACTGAACTAGAACTGAACTAGAACTGAACTAGAACTGAACTAGAACTGAACTAGAACTGAACTAGAACTGAACTAGAACTGAACTAGAACTGAACTAGAACTGAACTAGAACTGAACTAGAACTGAACTAGAACTGAACTAGAACTGAACTAGAACTGAACTAGAACTGAACTAGAACTGAACTAGAACTGAACTAGAACTGAACTAGAACTGAACTAGAACTGAACTAGAACTGAACTAGAACTGAACTAGAAACTGAACTAGAACTGAACTAGAACTGAACTAGAACTGAACTAGAACTGAACTAGAACTGAACTAGAAACTGAACTAGAACTGAACTAGAACTGAACTAGAACTGAACTAGAACTGAACTAGAACTGAACTAGAACTGAACTAGAACTGAACTAGAACTGAACTAGAACTGAACTAGAACTGAACTAGAACTGAACTAGAACTGAACTAGAACTGAACTAGAACTGAACTAGATAAAAATATTAATAATCAAAACTATTCTCTATTTCAAAGGTAAAATGTATTTCAGCGATTTTTGGTTTGGGAGAATAACTAGAACTGAACTAGAACTGAACTAACTGAACTAGAACTGAACTAGAACTGAACTAGAACTGAACTAGAACTGAACTAGAACTGAACTAGAACTGAACTAGAACTGAACTAGAACTGAACTAGAACTGAACTAGAACTGAACTAGAACTGAACTAGAACTGAACTAGAACTGAACTAGAACTGAACTAGAACTGAACTAGAACTGAACTAGAACTGAACTAGAACTGAACTAGAACTGAACTAGAACTGAACTAGAACTGAACTAGAACTGAACTAGAACTGAACTAGAACTGAACTAGAACTGAACTAGAACTGAACTAGAACTGAACTAGAACTGAACTAGAACTGAACTAGAACTGAACTAGAACTGAACTAGAACTGAACTAGAACTGAACTAGAACTGAACTAGAACTGAACTAGAACTGAACTAGAACTGAACTAGAACTGAACGAACTGAACTAGAACTGAACTAGAACTGAACTAGAACTGAACTAGAACTGAACTAGAACTGAACTAGAACTGAACTAGAACTGAACTAGAACTGAACTAGAACTGAACTAAACTGAACTAGAACTGAACTAGAACTGAACTAGAACTGAACTAGAACTGAACTAGAACTGAACTAGAACTGAACTAGAACTGAACTTGAACTGAACTAGAACTGAACTAGAACTGAACTAGAACTGAACTAGAACTGAACTAGAACTGAACTAGAACTGAACTAGAACTGAACTAGAACTGAACTAGAACTGAACTAGAACTGAACTAGAACTGAACTAGAACTGAACTAGAACTGAACTAGAACTGAACTAGAACTGAACTAGAACTGAACTAGAACTGAACTAGAATGAACTAGAACTGAACTAGAACTGAACTAGAACTGAATAGAACTGAACTAGAACTGAACTAGAACTGAACTAGAACTGAACTAGAACTGAACTAGAACTGAACTAGAACTGAACTAGAACTGAACTAGAACTGAACTAGAACTGAACTAGAACTGAACTAGAACTGAACTAGAACTGAACTAGAACTGAACTAGAACTGAACTAGAACTGAACTAGAACTGAACTAGAACTGAACTAGAACTGAACTAGAACTGAACTAGAACTGAACTAGAACTGAACTAGAACTGAACTAGAACTGAACTAGAACTGAACTAGAACTGAACTAGAACTGAACTAGAACTGAACTAGAACTGAACTAGAACTGAACTAGAACTGAACTAGAATGAACTAGAACTGAACTAGAACTGAACTAGAACTGAACTAGAACTGAACTAGAACTGAACTAGAACTGAACTAGAACTGAACTAGAACTGAACTAGAACTGAACTAGAACTGAACTAGAACTGAACTAGAACTGAACTAGAACTGAACTAGAACTGAACTAGAACTGAACTAGAACTGAACTAGAACTGAACTAGAACTGAACTAGAACTGAACTAGAACTGAACTAGAACTGAACTAGAACTGAACTAGAACTGAACTAGAACTGAACTAGAACTGAACTAGAACTGAACTAGAACTGAACTAGAACTGAACTAGAACTGAACTAGAACTGAACTAGAACTGAACTAGAACTGAACTAGAACTGAACTAGAACTGAACTAGAACTGAACTAGAACTGAACTAGAACTGAACTAGAACTGAACTAGAACTGAACTAGAACTGAACTAGAACTGAACTAGAACTGAACTAGAACTGAACTAGAACTGAACTAGAACTGAACTAGAACTGAACTAGAACTGAACTAGAACTGAACTAAAACTGAACTAAAACTAAACCAAAAAAAAACAAAATTTTTTTAATCATCACAAATTTGTATAAGCAAGAACACCACGGCGTATGATTGATTAAATTATATTCAATATTAGACATACGTCATGTTGGTCTTTAATTTATATTAAATGTAAAAATATTAAAAAATTAATAATGTAAATTTTTAATTAAAAAAGCAGCGAAATTTACCAATTTTTTATTTATATTCCCATTTTCATTAACCAGTGGAAGAAGACCTGCATGAAGATAAAAGCTCAACTTGCAGCACTTTACTGATACTACTGTCCGTAGCTCTGGTAATTTTAACACTACCATTTAGTCTATTTGTATGTTTTAAGGTAAATAATAATTATACCGAACCATATTGTCATACCTGAAAATCAGCATTTATTTAAACAATTGTTAAATTTCATTATGCATATAATTATGATTACACTTTAAGGTTGTTCAGGAATATGAACGTGCGGTTATATTTCGTTTGGGACGTTTAATGGCTGGTGGTGCCAAAGGACCGGGTAGGTGTTTATATAATATGTGAAATAAACTTTTGTTGAAATTAATAGGGAATTTTATTTAAATTGTTTACAATTTATTTTTATAGGCATTTTCTTTATATTACCCTGTATTGATTCATACGATAGAGTGGATTTACGGACGCGAACTTATGATGTACCTCCACAAGAGGTAAGTTTAATTTAGATGTTTTATTAATAACTTTATTAATGGTTGATTAATCAAAGTTTAAAGTTTTCATTGTGTTTTTTTTTGGTAAAAAAATTATGTTAGAGTTTTCACTTCATTAAATATTAACCAACTTTTTATTATTTGAACAATCATTTTTAGTTTCTCTGGTTCCCAACAACAATTGCTTGTCTGCACTACTTATTTTCTACATCTTTCACTTATTAAATCAAAAACTGTGCTGGTGTGCCATTTCGCTTAAAGTTTTTATTATTAAATTCACTTCATAAATGTTCTGTAAGAGTTTTTTGCTTCGTTTTAACTTGCATTATGTGTTTTCATTAAAGTTTAATATTTTCCATGTTTTGTTGTGTGGCTTGTTTTTTGTGTTGAAGTTACGCTGTCTAGATTTCTGTGGTTAGAATCCATAATCAACTAAGTCCATTTTAAGAAATTAGAACTGAAGTTAAAACTAAATTTAGAACTGAACTAGAACTGAACTAGAACTGAACTAGAACTGAACTAGAACTGAACTAGAACTGAACTAGAACTGAACTAGAACTGAACTAGAACTGAACTAGAACAGAACTAGAACTGAACTAGAACTGAACTAGAACTGAACTAGAACTGAACTAGAACTGAACTAGAACTAGAAACTGAACTAGAACTGAACTAGAACTGAACTAGAACTGAACTAGAACTGAACTAGAACTGAACTAGAACTGAACTAGAACTGAACTAGAACTGAACTAGAACTGAACTAGAACTGAACTAGAACTGAACTAGAACTGAACTAGAACTGAACTAGAACTGAACTAGAACTGAACTAGAACTGAACTAGAACTGAACTAGAACTGAACTAGAACTGAACTAGAACTGAACTAGAACTGAACTAGAACTGAAATAGAACTGAAATAGAACTGAACTAGAACTGAACTAGAACTGAACTAGAACTGAACTAGAACTGAACTAGAACTGAACTAGAACTGAACTAGAACTGAACTAGAACTGAACTAGAACTGAACTAGAACTAAACTAGAACTGAACTAGAACTGAACTAGAACTGAACAAGAACTGAACTAGAACTGAACTAGAACTGAACTAGAACTGAACTAGAACTGAACTAGAACTGAACTAGAACTGAACTAGAACTGAACTAGAACTGAACTAGAACTGAACTGAACTAGAACTGAACTAGAACTGAACTAGAACTATACTAGAACTGAACTAGAACTGAACTAGAACTGAACTAGAACTGAACTAGAACTGAACTAGAACTGAACTAGAACTGAACTAGAACTGAACTAGAACTGAACTAGAACTGAACTAGAACTGAACTAGAACTGAACTAGAACTGAACTAGAACTGAACTAGAACTGAACTAGAACTGAACTAGAACTGAACTAGAACTGAACTAGAACTGAACTAGAACTGAACTAGAACTGAACTAGAACTGAACTAGAACTGAACTAGAACTGAACTAGAACTGAACTAGAACTGAACTAGAACTGAACTAGAACTGAACTAGAACTGAACTAGAACTGAACTAGAACTGAACTAGAACTGAACTAGAACTGAACTAGAACTGAACTAGAACTGAACTAGAACTGAACTAGAACTGAACTAGAACTGAACTAGAACTGAACTAGAACTGAACTAGAACTGAACTAGAACTGAACTAGAACTGAACTAGAACTGAACTAGAACTGAACTAGAACTGAACTAGAACTGAACTAGAACTGAACTAGAACTGAACTAGAACTGAACTAGAACTGAACTAGAACTGAACTAGAACTGAACTAGAACTGAACTAGAACTGAACTAGAACTGAACTAGAACTGAACTAGAACTGAACTAGAACTGAACTAGAACTGAACTAGAACTGAACTAGAACTGAAAGAGAACTGAACTAGAACTGAACTAGAACTGAACTAGAACTGAACTGAACTAGAACTGAACTAGAACTGAACTAGAACTAGAACTGAACTAGAACTGAACTAGAACTGAACTAGAACTGAACTAGAACTGAACTAGAACTGAACTAGAACTGAACTAGAACTGAACTAGAACTGAACTAGAACTGAACTAGAACTGAACTAGAACTGAACTAGAACTGAACTAGAACTGAACTAGAACTGAACTAGAACTGAACTAGAATTTTTTGGAACTGAACTAAAACTGAACTAGAACTGAACTAGAACTGAAATAGAACTGAACTAGAACTGAACTAGAACTGAACTAGAACTGAACTAGAACTGAACTAGAACTGAACTAGAACTGAACTAGAACTGAACTAGAACTGAACTAGAACTGAACTAGAACTGAACTAGAACTGAACTAGAACTGAACTAGAACTGAACTAGAACTGAACTAGAACTGAACTAGAACTGAACTAGAACTGAACTAGAACTGAACTAGAACTGAACTAGAACTGAACTAGAACTGAACTAGAACTGAACTAGAACTGAACTAGAACTGAACTAGAACTGAACTAGAACTGAACTAGAACTGAACTAGAACTAAACTAGAACTGAACTAGAACTGAACTAGAACTGAACTAGAACTGAACTAGAACTGAACTAGAACTGAACTAGAACTGAACTAGAACTGAACTAGAACTGAACTAGAACTGAACTAGAACTGAACTAGAACTGAACTAGAACTGAACTAGAACTGAACTAGAACTGAAATAGAACTGAACTAGAACTGAACTAGAACTGAACTAGAACTGAACTGAACTAGAACTGAACTAGAACTGAACTAGAACTGAACTAGAACTGAACTAGAACTGAACTAGAACTGAACTAGAACTGAACTAGAACTGAACTAGAACTGAACTAGAACTGAACTAGAACTGAACTAGAACTGAACTAGAACTGAACTAGAACTGAACTAGAACTGAACTAGAACTGAACTAGAACTGAACTAGAACTGAACTAGAACTGAACTAGAACTGAACTAGAACTGAACTAGAACTGAACTAGAACTGAACTAGAACTGAACTAGAACTGAACTAGAACTGAACTAGAACTGAACTAGAACTGAACTAGAACTGAAAGAACTGAACTAGAACTGAACTAGAACTGAAGTAGAACTGAACTAGAACTGAACTAGAACTGAACTAGAACTGAACTAGAACTGAACTAGAACTGAACTAGAACTGAACTAGAACTGAACTAGAACTGAACTAGAACTGAACTAGAACTGAACTAGAACTGAACTAGAACTGAACTAGAACTGAACTAGAACTGAACTAGAACTGAACTAGAACTGAACTAGAACTGAACTAGAACTGAACTAGAACTGAACTAGAACTGAACTAGAACTGAACTAGAACTGAACTAGAACTGAAATAGAACTGAACTAGAACTGAACTAGAACTGAACTAGAACTGAACTAGAACTGAACTAGAACTGAACTAGAACTGAACTAGAACTGAACTAGAACTGAACTAGAACTGAACTAGAACTGAACTAGAACTGAACTAGAACTGAACTAGAACTGAACTAGAACTAAACTAGTACTGTCCTAAAACTAACCTAAAACTGAACTAGAACTGTTAGTAATTTTTTTAGAAGCACGATTTTCATCATAAGCTGATATAGTTTGTAACCATAGATTAATACACAAAAACATTCATTCAATATCGTTTCCGTTTTTACGCACATTTTTTGTTTTATTTTTGTTGTTGTTTATAAAAAGTTTTCGTTGATTTATGACTTTTTTTATGAACGCGAAAAAAATTGAGCAACTAAATGGAATATTAGGGACAATCTTTCACTGGGGTCAAGGTTCGTCAGAAGATGTTTTTAATCTGTATTTATGTTAAGCAAAATGTGGAAGATTCACTGTGTTTCAAGAGATAACAGTTTTGGGGTTTTGTAAACAAGGGTGATAAATATGTGTTAGAAAAAAGTTTTTCAATTACTGAAATTTTGAGTAGATATTTGATAAATTTGGCAACAAGGCATAGACTTTTGTTCTAGCAGTGTATTTAAGGTAAAATATATTTTTTTAATTATGCTTGTTATATGGAAGGACAGGATTTACAAATCACCCTAATTAGTGCTTGAAAATAGCTTAAAATATTGTGAATTTTTTTAAATAACTTTCGTTAATCACGCTGTATAATTGACTGTTACATATTTTGATAATTATACTTTTTAATTAGAAAAAGAGTAATGGAATGGGTTAATTTGTACGTTGTCCACATTTTTCAATAATTTGTTTCAAAATTGACAACTTGATTGGCATTACATAATTTGCAATAAATTCTATAGTTGTTTTTTGAATTGACCTTTAATTTGATTTTGTTATGCATGAAGTATTTATACAGAAACTGTATGAACTTATTACGTCAATTAATGGCAGGTTTTGATAATTTGTAACATAAATACAGTGGATATTTAATAAGTGGCTATTATATTTATAAAATTTTCATTTTATACTATTCGAAAGTCAAAACCATATGATTTCATTGCATATTTCTCATAATTCCTAAACTCAAAGTTATTGTGTAAAAACTCATCAAATTAAATAAAATTCATAAATTACTTAATCAATATTCACTTTATAAAACAATAACTTATCCTATAGCTAAAAGTACAAACGAACTGCAACAAAAATCCATAAATTTTAAAACTCATGATAAACGCTGATATGCCCTAATACTCCCCAAAAAATAAATCATAATAAAATGTATCAGTTTTCTTTGCTGATTTCATGATATACAAAGTGAGATAAAAAAAGGCAGAGAATTATTCACTGAACTGTGTTTTCTGTTTTTTTTTTTTTATTTATTTTATGGACATGGATTTAAGTAAATACTTGTGTTTATATGTATACATAATACTGGTTTATACATACATTTGTATATAAACTGTAAACTATATTTATTTAATATTTATAAAGCTAAACCACCCCCCCCCATACTCAAATGTATTTGTTGCATTTTTCATGGCGCAAAAAAGCACTTTATTCATGTTATTGTTTGTTGTAGCTTTAAAGCAGTTCTAGATAGTTATTATTCATATTTATGTATACATATTTTATAAATGATGTTTATAGTGTTTTTTTGGAATTTATATCCGTTTTTTATTTGTTTTGTAGGTCCTTACTAAGACAGTGTTACTGTTTCCGTGGATGCTGTAGTCTATTATCGCGTCTCAAATGCCACCGTTTCCATAGCCAACGTTGAAAATGCTCATCATTCTACGCGTCTACTGGCACAAACAACACTCCGCAATACAATGGGTACAAGACATTTACATGAGATTCTTAGTGAACGTATGACAATTTCCGGCACTATGCAGGTAGAGTAGTGTTGAGAGGAAAGTGCTGCTTTCATTTTCGTTTTTTTTTGCATTTTCATGATTTCATATTTTGACAAATTTTAAGTTGTGTGTTAGTTTATTTTTTTTAGATTAAATATGTAGAAATATATGTATCTATATGTAACATGGCGATGGAATGATATTGAAACTTTAAATTTGAATTATTCAGGATTTTAGGAAAATTATCATTGAATTTCAATCTTAAATAAGAAACACTTATTCCAGAGGCCATGTACTAGGCTTACTAAGTTTAAAGGAAGTGAATTTTTTAACTAACTAACTAACTAACTAACTAACTAACTAACTAACTAACTAACTAACTAACTAACTACTAACTAACTACTAACTACTACTAACTAACTAACTAACTAACTAACTACTAACTAACTAACTACTACTAAACTAACTAACTAACTAACTAACTACTAACTAACTAACTACTACTAACTACTAACTAACTAACTAACTAACTAACTAACTAACTAACTAACTAACTCTAACTACTAACTAACTACTAAACTAACTAACTAACTACTACTAACTAACTAACTAACTACTAACTAACTAACTACTACTAACTAACTAACTAACTAACTAACTACTAACTAACTAACTAACTAACTACTAACTAACTAACTACTAACTACTAACTAACTAACTAACTAACTAACTAACTAACTAACTAACTAACTAACTACTAACTAACTAACTAACTACTAACTAACTAACTAACTACTAACTAACTAACTAACTAACTAACTAAACTAACTACTAACTAACTAACTAACTAACTAACTAACTAACTAACTAACTAACTAACTAACTAACTAACTAACTAACTAACTAACTAACTACTAACTAACTAACTAACTAACTACTAACTACTACTAACTAACTAACTAACTAACTAACTAACTACTACTAACTAACTAACTAACTAACTAACTAACTAACTAACTACTAACTAACTACTACTAACTAACTAACTAACTCTAACTAACTAACTAACTAACTAACTAACTAACTAACTAACTAACTAACTACTAACTAACTAACTAACTAACTAACTAACTAACTAACTAACTAACTAACTAACTAACTAACTAACTAACTAACTAACTAACTAACTACTAACTAACTACTAACTAACTAACTAACTAACTAACTACTACTAACTAACTAACTAACTAACTAACTAACTAACTAACTAACTAACTAACTACTACTAACTACTAACTAACTAACTAACTAACTACTAACTAACTAACTACTAACTAACTAACTAACTAACTACTAACTAACTAACTAACTAACTAACTAACTAACTAACTACTACTAACTAACTAACTAACTAACTAACTAACTACGAACTAACTAACTAAACTAACTACTAACTAACTACTAACTACTTAGCCCGACTATATTTTCTTACTAGTTTTTTGTTATCAAGTGGAAAGTTTTTACGTTGTGAATTGCACTGCTTTTATTAACGACAGCTGCACGTATACGTGTTAATGATTTTTGATATTACAATATTAAGTATACGTATAGTTTAAAATAATTTTTTAACATCTAAAACTATGTTAACTGAAAAACATTGAGATAGTAGTAAATCATTAAAAAATTTATTTAATTAAATGGTATCATATAGAAATAAATATTTAATAAAAATATTAATTAATTAATCTGTATTTTTTACGATTTATATTATTATTTTTTGTTACGGGCTTTAATTTTAATTTATTTTGTATTTCATTTCATTTTACCAGCTACAATTGGATGAAGCCACCGATGCATGGGTATTAAAGTAGAGCGTGTTGAAATGTGAGTAATAGTTTCCTATTTGCTATAATAAATATAAATGCAACAAATCTCTGCTTTAACTTAACTGCATGCAACATGCAGACAAATAAACTGTACAATAATATTTATTTAAATTCACACTTTTTAGCAAAGATGTACGACTTCCGGTGCAGTTACAAAGAGCCATGGCAGCAGAGGAAGCAGCACGCGAGGCGAGAGCCAAAGTTATAGCAGCCGAAGGGGAACAAAAGGCATCGCGTGCTCTAAGAGAAGCTTCAGAGGTTATAGGTGGTTCACCAGCAGCTTTACAATTAAGATACTTACAAGTAAAGCAAACAAATAAATAAAAATATTATAAACTTTATGATATTTATACCTTTTCTTCTTTTCTTCCTTAAAGACTTTAAGTCAAATATCAGCTGAGAAAAACTCCACTATAGTTTTTCCCTTGCCCATAGATTAATTACCTACTTCCTAAAATCAAATGATGCTGCCACCCAACAATAGCAGAAGCTGCTGTTGCTATGCTATGATAAAATGCTACAACAGGACAACGAAACGTCTACTACTTTAGAGAAATCTTCCTAAAATTTACTTTCAAAGTCATACAACAACAAATAGTAATTTATATTTAATCTATAGCTAAAGACAGTTTAGTTTAATTCCTAATAAGGAAACAGTTGATCCTAGTAAATGCTTTTGAATATTTAAACCTCAGCCTATAGATACATTTTATAATCCATTGTATTCGAATTAGTAAGCCTAGTTTTATTATATAATCTAGTTTAGACTATTAAACTAGTTTAAAGTTCTTTCCATTTTTTAAGCATTTAAAAAAAAGATATCTTTAAACCTAATAAAACTACTACTTAGTAAACTGTTGACTCATTTAACCAATAATATCTATAACTAAACATCTATCTAACTATTTTAACTTTATCTATCGATTATGTTTAATTTATAAAGAAACTAAATTGAAGAAATAAAAAGCAAATAATAAAACCCAAATAGGGTTTTCCGGGTTTTTTAATGTCGGCTATATACCAAAAAAGGATTTTTTTGTTTTCAACTATATACACTACAATATATGTATGTATTAGTTTATAGTCGATACTCTAGATTACTATAAACAATTCTATAGTCGACGAAAAATACTATTCTATAGTAAGAAAATAATCTACTATATAGTAGATAGTTGAGACTATACATACTTTATATATTCGATAGTAGAGACTGTAGATGTTTTACAATCGAAAGAATAGACAATTCTAATATCTCGACTATACACTATTCAATAGTTGATAGATGAGACTGTAGACTAATCAAAAATCTAGACTATTGGCTAATTAAAAGTGGAAAGCTAAGACGATGATATAGACTATTCAATAGTGCAGACTTAACACTGAAGGAGATTGATTATTATATAGTCAAGACGATAATTTATTATATAGTCGAGATTATAAACAATTTTTTAGTCTTCACTATATATTACTTTATAGTTGAGAAATTTTGTAGTTGAAACACTGTTCAATAGTCGAAACTTTAGAATATTTTATGGTCGACTATATATACTATAGTCGATACCAAAGATTGTTTTATAGTCGAGACTATGGACTGTGCTACACTATACTATATACTATTCTATAGTCGGGACTACAGTCTGTTCTATAATCTAGATAATAGACTACTAGAGAGAAAATATATTATTCTATTTAATAGTAAAGACTGTAGATAGTATAAAAATATATATAGTATAGAAAATGTAGAATCTATTATCGAGATTATAGACAACTGTAGACTTCTATAGTCAATAACCGATGCTGTACAGCCGAAAGTGTAGATCTATTATTCTATATCGACTATATTATGACCGAGGACTATATACTATTCAATAGTCGAGACTACAGAATGTTCTATAGTAGACGCTACATACGAATAGAGATACACTTTATTTTATAGTCGAGACTGTAATCTATTCTATTATCGAGGACTATAGACGACCGCAGACTTTTCTGCAGTCGAGGCCGTAATAGACTTTGCTATAGATTGTAGTCGAGACTCTGAACTATTTGAAACTATGGTTGAATAAGTATTATAGACTATTCTATCGTGGAAAGATTATAGGCGGACTTCATCGAGTGAACTCAAATAAGTTTTTTAAGGGCTCTACTACTCAAACGGGAGTTTTCAACTTTTTTTTAAATAAAAAAAAAATAAAATATTTTTGGAAACAATGAAGAAATAGTTTGGACAATTTTTGTTAAGACTAATAGGTGAAAATTTGCACTCATTTGAATAAAACCCTGTATGATTAATTTTATGTTACTTGGTCCAATAGTCTAGCTTTAACCTTTTAGGCTGCCAATAACCCTTCCAAATACATACAGCTATATAAGAAATTTGTCATAGTATACGTTTATAATAAATATTATAGTTTTATTAAAACAAATACATTAATAATTTTACACATTTCAATTAATTGATATGCTAGACAACAGAAAGAGCAGGAAGACAGACAATACACTGAAATAAACCATGCCTAATATGTATGAAAAACTGACTAATCAACCGACCAACCAACCGACCAACCGAAAAACCGGCCAACCTAACTAACTAACTAACTAACTAACTACTAACTAACTACTAACTACTAACTAACTAACTAACTACTAACTACTAACTAACTAACTACTACTAACTAACTAACTAACTAACTAACTAACTACTAACTAACTAACTACTACTAACTAACTAACTAACTAACTAACTAACTAACTACTACTAACTAACTAACTACTAAACTAACTACTAACTAACTAACTAACTAACTACTAACTAACTAACTAACTAACTAACTAACTAACTAACTAACTAACTAACTAACTAACTAACTAACTAACTAACTAACTAACTAACTAACTACTACTAACTAACTAACTAACTAACTAACTAACTAACTAACTAACTAACTAACTAAAACTAACTAACTAACTAACAACTAACTACTAACTAACTAACACTAACTAACTAACTACTAACTAACTAACTAACTAACTAACTAACTAACTAACTAACTAACTAACTAACTAACTAACTAACTAACTAACCTAACTAACTAACTAACTAACTAACTAACTAACTCCTAACTAACTAACTAACTAACTAACTACCAACTAACTAACTAACTAACTAACCTAACTAACTAACTAACTAACTAACTAACTAACTAACTAACTAACAACTAACACTAACTAACTAACTACTAACTAACTAACTAACTAACTAACTAACTAACTAACTAACTAACACTAACTAACTAACTAACTAACTAACTAACTACTAACTAACTAAATAACTAACTAACTAACTAACTAACTAACTAACTAACTAACTAACTAACTAACTAACTCCTAACTAACTAACTACTAACTAACTAACTACTAACTAAACTAACTAACTAACTAACTAACTAACTAACTAACGAACTAACTAACTAACTACACTAACTAACTAATAACTAACTACTAACTAACTAACTAACTAACTAACTAACTAACTAGCTAACTAACGAACTAACTAACTAACTAACTTACTAACTAACTAACTAACTAACTAACTAACTATCTAAGTTAACCATGGATTATTTTCAGTGTAGCTTATTAAATAATTTCAAAATATCAATTTCTATTCTTTGATCAGATTAAAAAGGTGTTCTCCAGATGTTCACAGTTAAAGAAATTCGTTAGTTCTTAGAGAGAAATGCTTACAAAAAGTATTAAAATATTAATTCATATTGTTGATGAATGAAATTTGGTATATGAGTACTCTTTCATATCAAAGTAAATATGGTAACTGTTTACCATCAAGATAATTATGTAATTAGGCAAAAAGCGTTTATAAATTTTAATATGAAAAACTTTACTAATTTATTCCCTAAATATTTCTACAGCACGTGTTCTAATAAATTAGAATAATTAAATATATTAATTAGTTGTTTTTGTTAAAATATCACCTAATTGCTAACAACAAACCTATATACAAAAACATTACTTTAAATATATAATAAAAATATATAAATTAATTTGAAATTAAAACTAACCGCACAAAGAGTATAGACTAACCTATTTATATACATATGTTAGTATATACATAAATACAATATAATTTGTTCGACTTGAAAATACTTTCTTAATAAATAAACGTGTAGACCAATAAATTGTTGGACATGTGATTTCAAGGTTAAATATTTCCCAAAAGGAAGGCTAATATTCTATAATAATATGACTCAACTATCACAAAGCTAATTTTGCAGTATTGTCAACGACTATGACAGTAATATCTTCAATAAATATAAATACAATATAATTTCTTACAAGTCATTAAAGCAACACCTTTTTATTGGACACAAAATAGAATGTAATAAACAAAAGACGGGTAAATTTTATAATGGTCAAGTTAAAGGTAAGTTAAATTAACAATGAGTTATAAATGAGTAATACATTAATCAAATATTTTTAGCATTTGCAGTTGAAAATAAAAATTTGAAATCTAAATTTGTTATGTCTGGTAATAAGTAATTTGATGTCATTTAAGTTTGATATGAAAATATTACCATTTGAACTATAGGGTTTTTTATAGACAATTATTTAAAAAAAATATATATAAAAATTTGTTTTGGGATTCAAAGGTGTTGACGAGAATTTTGTTCTGGTTATAAAACTTTGTTCTGTTTAATATAAAATTCTGATTGATTGTTTGATAGTTAAATACTAACACGCACAGTCTTGCATATCGCTGCCATTTTTATAATAGTACTCTTCATATGTGTTAAAGACTAGGGAGTAAACTACAGTATACGCTATACAAAAGTATATAGTCTATTTTATTAGAAAGAGTAGTCCAAAGTGACGACTTTAGAGTAGACTATAGTACCAACTATAAAGTAGAGTAGTCGTTAGGCTAAAGTATATATTAGTCTAAAATCTCGACTATGAAATAGTTTGTAGTCTAAATTATACTATAGTTTCAACTAGATTAGTCTATAGTTTCGACTATGGAGAAGTCTAAAGTCTTGACTATGGTGTAGTCTATAACTTCGACTATAGAGTAGTCAATGGTATCAACTAGAAAGTAGTATATAGTCGCTACCATCGATTAATTTATAGTCTGATTGATGGAAAGTGTCAAGTATAGAGCAGTTTTAGCTTCGACTAGAGTAGACTATTGACTACAGAAAAGTTTAAAGTCTCGAGTATGGATTAGTGCATAGTCTCGTCCTTAAAGTTGACTATCTACTCAACTGTGGAGTACAATAATAATTACGGGTACAGATCATAGTTATATTGTTAGTTCCATTTGTAGAGTAAACAGTCTATATTCTCGTCTGTAGTACATAATCTCGACTAAGGAAAAGTTTATAGTCTCGACTATAGATTGTCCTTAAGGGTAGACTATAGCGGTAGTATATAGTATCGAGTAGTGTAGAGTAGAGTAGAGTAGAGTAGAGTAGAGTAGAGTAGGTAGAGTAGAGTAGAGTAGAGTAGAGTAGAGTAGAGTAGAGTAGAGTAGAGTAGAGTAGAGTAGAGTAGAGTAGAGTAGATTAAGGTAGTGTAGAGTAGGTAGAGTAGAGTAGAGTAGAGTAGAGTAGAGTAGAGTAGTGTAGAGTAGAGTAGAGTAGAGTAGAGTAGTGTAGAGTAGAGTAGAGTAGAGTAGAGTAGAGTAGAGTAGAGTAGAGTAGAGTAGAGTAGAGTAGAGTAGAGTTGAGTAGAGTGGAGTAGAGTAGAGTAGAGTAGAGTGGAGCAGAGCAGAGCGGAGTAGAGTAGAGTAGTAGTAGAGTAGAGTAGAGTAGAGTAGAGTAGAGTAGAGTAGAGTAGAGTAGAGTAGAGTAGAGTAGAGTAGAGTAGAGTCGCAGAGTAGAGTAGAGTAGAGCAGAGTAGGTAGAGTAGAGTAGAGTAGAGTAGAGTAGAGTAGAGTAGATTAAGGTATAGTCTAGA